TGAGGCTCAGCCTCTCTGCCCTGACTCCATATGGAAATCTTCTAGCAGCACTTCTGAATATCTCCAGAAATACATCATTACCACGATTCTTCCCTACCCATACACACTGGGGGCCATCGGGGAAAGGTGGCAGAGAGGTTTCATGTCCATGTATTACTCAGCAAACATTTCCTGAGTACCCACCCCTACTGGCCACTCTTCTACACTCTGGGCTCAAAGTCAAAGAAAACCTAATTCCTGCACTCAAGAGAAGGAGACGCATATCTGAGCAAATACATTCGGAAGAGCATGTTAGACAAGTCAGGGAGGGAACTGAGAGGCTTGGGAAAAGTGTGGCCACTCTACTGGTAGCTCAGCAGTGACATCACAGAGGAGATGAGACATTCAAACCCTGTCATCATCTTCAAGTAAGAATGATTAAGCACCATGGGTGGTATGTCAAGGGTTCATACCCAGAGACCTTATAAATAGACATCCCCCTTAGTCCTGGAGAGACATATCCTATCCCAGCCCCGCACAGTGGCCCCTTTTTTGCAAACATTTGGCAAATATTTCAGCTCTACCTGCAAGGGGCTGGAAATACTGCAGGAACCAGAGATCAAGTTCCTAGCTTCATGGAGCTAACAGCTTTGTCACCAGACCTGTCACACACAGAAAAACTGCCCAGGCATTTGTTAAAGCACTGACTCTTAACAGGGAATTTTTTTGTAATGCAGTTTGAAAAGCTGGCACATGTACGGTTGCAAACAAAGCTAGTTTAAGTCTAAGCCCTTGTGCCAGACGCTGTGGGTGATGTAAGGACAGAGGCATGGCCAGTGTCTATAGTGGCCCTGGGGCCAAGAACCTTAACGCTCTGGTGTTTGCCACGCAGTGAGCTTCTGTAAGGTGATATTTTGTTAAAAATAGGTGATCTGTGTGAATGAGCCCATTTCTCAAAATCTTCCAGGAAATACAATATGCACATATTTCACTCGTGTCCTCATCACTACCCTCCAATATCCATTCGTCCATTAACTGTGCAGGTAAAGCTATTATAAAGAGTTTACAATGAGTGGATAATAAATGAGCAGGGCTTGGAGTCAGGTGTGCATAAAATTCCAACTGTATTTGAAACTACTGTTGGACTCTGGTAACTCTAGTGCCTATCCTGCCAGCCAAGCCAGATGATAAAGAGATGTTCAATGTCTCTGCCTCAATTCCCAGTTTCACTCTTATTATCACTATTTCTTCTTGTTTCTTCGGTCATCTTTCTGTCCACCCCCAACCTCACATCCATCCATCTATCCATCCTCCATTCACATAATTCTTTCTTTCATTCCAGGGCACTGGTTATTAAGAGATTCCCAGTGCATCCTCCTAACTCAGAATAAGAGATGTTTCTGCAGAGAAAGAAAGAAGGCTATAGTGAGGAAGCTTGTATGAGTAATAAAATAACAGCAGCATGGCTTATGAAGAAGATATTTTCTGGAAAGCCCTGTCTCTTAACAGACCCATGGCTCCCATAGGGAAGAGCTGCTTGGTAAGCATCCACCTGGGTGATACAGTTATACCCACCTAAAATGTCCCCAAGGGATCCTGCCACCCCCAAAGCCACACTTCCTTCCCAAGCAGACCAGCCCCAACTCTGAGGGAGTCACAGCTCTGGGCCAGGTGGCCACCCTCCAAGAAGCAGGTAGAGGAAACCTTCCTCCTCCTCCCTCTAAGGCAGCTCCTGTTCATGGACTGTACACCAAGATCTCCTGGGGCAAGCAATAATGCTATTTCATACCATTTGCTATTTCTTACCCATATGAAATGCAAGAGAGCGAGTCAGGAGTACAGCTCATGCAGGCCTGTACATATCAGTCATGATATGATTCCACATGGAACCCAAATCCAACAATAATCCTACCTTTCTTCCAACTTCTGATCATGCATTGCTGCTAAATTACCCACGGGAAGCTTGCATCACACCGTGCATCCACCTTGTGTGTGTGCAGTTCCCAGTGTACTCTATTATTATGTGACAATATGACCAGTTTAAAGCTGATTACAGATCTGTACTGTAGTCAGGATTCTTTCACCTAGTCAGTTAATCAACAAAGATTAACTTCCCACCACATCTCTGTCTCAGAGCTAGAGATACAGAAATGAAAATGTAGAAAAGTGGTTCAAGGGACTCCTCAGAGTTCAGTGGAGGAGAAAGGCATAAATCCGCTTTACTATAACACAGGGTAATATGGTGATGGAGGGGGTGGGCCTAATTCTACCTTGGGGTAGCAAACTCAAACAAAAGGGAACTCCACGAATGTTACTTGAGAGCTTCGTCTACTTAGGGATGAGACTCTTGACTCAGGGCTTATCTCATTCATGTTTTCTATGTGAAAAATATCTAGCTAGGTTCTTTACTTCAGAACTGTATGGGGGTGACAAATGATTGAAGAAGTATTGCAATGTAGCATCCACGTTAGAGTCAATGAGTGAATCATGAATTCTAATTGTGGCTTGCAGCTTCCTTCTCATTAAGGAGGTGGTGATGTCTGCTAACTAGTGTGGCCAGGGGAAGTATATAGACTCGTCTCCTGCTCTGCAGTGCTTTCCTGCCTGGGCTGCCAGTTCTGATTCATCCGAGCCTTCTGCTGACACAACCACCAAGAGAACCCTCTTAGTGCACTGGCCTCTCTGAATAGGCATAAGTCCCTTTAGTGAGCTCTATGAGCTGCTGTCTCCAAAGCTGCAGTCTGGTCTCTCAAACCTGAGTGCTCCACTTAGTGTCACTGCTCCATCTGCAGAGTCAGAGGTCTTGGTAAAATTGGTGTCCTCCTAGGCTGTAGCTGCCATGATGAGAAAAACTGGGCTTCCCTTTGAAATATGATCTGCAAAAGGATCCTCCACTGCACAGACAGAAAGACAGAAACAACTTCTGTGCACCCCATGGAATAAGAGGTTACCACGTAACTCTAAATCACTTCATGATGTATATTGCTTGGGCTATAGAGGGTGGAAAGAAAGTATGGACAAAGAAGGAAATTATACCGACATCGAATCTGGAAGAAGCAGGACTGATGTCTCAAGGAGATTGAAATACAAACAAAATGGAGAAAAGACAGTTCAACAGGAGATTGTGGCTACAGACATTAGGATTGAGCATGGCTAGCAGGACAGAAAACTCAAAAGAAGAGTGCCTTAAACAAGATTGAGGCTTATTTCTCTCTCACAGAAACGTAGGCAACACAGGGCTGTTACGGAGTGCTATGATCATAAGGGAACCCAGGCTCCTTCTACATTGTAGCTCCATCACCCTCAACATGATAGCTTCCAACTCATGGTCCAAAATGGCTGCTCAAGCCTGAGTCATCACATCCTTATTCTCCCTCATAAGAAGGCAGAAGTAAAGAATAGATTGCTGCCCCTTTCCTATGGAGACAGTTCTCAGATGTTGCATACAGCACTTCTGCTCACATCCCATTGAGCTAGAATTTAGTCAGATCACCACACCCACCTAGTAGGGAGGCTGGAAAATATAGGCTTTATTCTGAACAACTTTGTGCCCTTCAGTGGCAAATGAAGGCTTTCTAGCAGTCTCTGCAAATGGCCTGTGTAAAACACTCAAATTTAAGATCTCAGAGATGGAGCCTTTCCAGGTGAAGACACAATGAAGAATATGACCCCAGGAATAAGTGGTTGAAAGGCAGTCAAAGTGAAGGTCATTGAGATATTAAAATTCAAGGGACAGTGACGCTTATTTATGGGATGAATCGTTATCAACACAGAAGATGAAGCCACATAGGTTAACTGAAGAGTTAGGGTGAAGAGGAAGATTTGGAGGCTACTGATGACATTGTAGCTATGTGGTAGACCCTGCAGCCACATGAACCACTGAATTAACTTTATTCTATAATTATTTCAACTTAACGAATCAGGAACCTTCTCTGCTGTTTCACTTTTTCTTTCCCACAGTACTGGAGACACTGAACAAATATAGATAAAGAAGTTGCACAAAAGAGTCAGAACCCTCAATTGACCCCAGAAGATAACCAAATATGTTCTATCTCCCAAAAGCTCTCTCTGACTCAGGCATTAGGAAAATAACAAATATTCTTTCTGTTGTGCTGCAGCATTTTGATAAACTGCCCAGTTTAAAAGGCAGCATATTTGAAATGTGCTACCTGTTCTTTGAAGATTGAAAATAGTCTAGGGAAAAAGATATACAAAACAAGAAAAAACAAGGAAGTTATATGTGTGCTGTGTTACTACAGGAGACTGAGAATAGACTTAAGAGTTAGAGTGCAGCATCTGTTTCCAAAACAGCCAGACAGAAGGGAATTCTCTTCCTGTTCTCATTATTAAATACTCAAAAGAATCACTGATTTGGGGAGTAAGGGAGAGAACAACTTATTTCTCCTTCCTGTGAAGATGAAAAGCCAGCTTCTTGGCTTCCATATGAACTGTGTACTTAAAAGGCAACCATCTAAGCAGCTTGGAGGGACTCAGGGTCCTGTGTCTGACTGCTGCCCTCACCAGCAGCAGGGATGCTGAGCCACAGGCCATGTCATGCCTGCCTTCTCTCTTCCTTCCTCCAAAAGCTGGCTCCAAGGAGCTTTTATCTGCAAAAGTATTATTGTGGCTTTTGTGCAAAGCTATAGTTTTTGCAGTCTTTTGTGACTGGTCTTGTTATGAGGCACACATGCCTGAGAACTCTCCCTTTGTGGCCTTTTCTGTCCCCATTTGTCAGGGTGACTACATTTTGATTCTGACACTCAAGTGACTCCATTTTGATTCTGACAACCTTCAAAAGCTTCAGACCCCTCTAAACTTGGATCTGCCCTGATAATCACTGTTGTGAAGCTTTCCATGACCTCCTGAAAGGGAAGTCCTCTGAGGTTCCAGAACACTTTATGTCTAATACTTAATATGTTTTAGTATAACTTATCAGCCCACATAATTGAACAAGATATTAATTTTTTGTTCATTTGTCTGTCTCAATAGTAGGTATTCAACAAAATCATGTTAAATGTGTATTACTGATAAAAACATAAACAGAGGTTTGTGCATTTATTTGCTGTCTGTTCCATTTTCAGACCCCGCCACTTTCCACCTTCAGAAGGAGCCTTCCAACTGCATGCTCACGGCAGCCCAGCAGACAGGGAGAGGACTGATGGAGCCTGATGGCAGCAAGAGGGGAAAGAAGTTTTTAGGAGGGTTGTGAGAAAGAATGCGAAGCCAAATCACAAAAGGAATGGGAGTCAAACAGAAATGAGGCTGAGTTTAAACAGGGAAGGAAACAATAACACAGACCCATAATCTGGAAAGAGTTCATGGTTGAGGTGGTGAGGTGGTTTCATTTAAAAACAAAGGGAAGCCAGGTGTGGTAGCTCACCCCTATAATCCCAGCACTTTGGGAGGCCAAGGCGGGTGGATTACTTGAGGTCAGGAGTTCGAGACCAGCCTGACCAACGTGGAGAAACCCCATCTCTACTAAAAATACAAAATTAGCCAGGCATGGTGGCACATGCTTGTAATCCCAGCTAATTGGGAGGCTGAGGCAGGAGAATAGCTTGAACCCAGGAAGTGGAGGTTGCAGTTAGCCGATAGTGCACCACTGCACTCCAGCCTGGGCAACAAGAGTGAAACTCGGTCTCAAAAAATAAAATAAAATAACCAAAGGGAAAAGCTAAGAGATATAAAGAAAATAGGTATTTAGTTACAATTGGGTAGATTAAATTTGAGAAACTAGCTAATCCTGCACCCCATGGCACTTGCGGTTTCTTCTGCTGGACAGCTCTCCCCTGTCAGCTCTCCCGCATCGGTCAGGAACCAGCTTCACTGACTTCTCTGAGCTATTCCTGGGTCTTCCTGCCCAAATGCTCCAGATTTCATCTCTCTCAGCTCTGCAACCAAAACCATAAACACAACGACAAGTGCATGTTTTACTTATTTTAAACATCTGAGTAAGTACTAAACTATGTGTAAATAAACTATTCTTTATATTTTCATCTGATAATCTTAACTTTCCCACAAACAATGACTAAATAGAACATTTTACTGTTTTTAAATTTCAAGTCATCCTTTTATCCCATGTACCCAAGATAGAACTATGTTCTAGTAAAATATTACATTGTTCTCCTGGTAAGAAACAAGAAGGCAGGCAAAAGCAAAAGGCAGAACCAAAACACATTTGAAAGCACTTCCCATGGGAAAGAATGTCACATTTGAAAACAGATTCCTCCATTGTTTCCTTGGTTTAAGCGGAAGTTACTTGCTTTGTAAAATTATAGTGGAAACCATTGTTGCAGAGCAAGAGATTCTCTATTCTCCTGTGGCAGTTATTAGTGTGTCCAAGTCAGGCTCAAATAGAATCTGAGATCATTTAAATCACTGTTTGGATCTTCAAAATTTAAACAGTGAATGCAGCAATCAAAATGCCACTGGGGTAGAAGAATGAATGAATAATTCAGCTCACTAAAAGTTAACATTTAGAAAAGATCAGACTTGCAAATTCCAAGAGGTTATGAGAGCCTGGAATAAGATGGTCCCTACTCCTCTGCCACCTGCTTCAATTTAAAACAAACAAAACGACCGTGAAATCTGTATATTGAATTCCTAGACACCCCACTTTTGGGGGGTGCATTCAGATCTGAGGAGCAGCAGCCAGAGAGTGGTCCAAACACCCTGATGGGTGTTCATCTAACACTTCCTGAGCTTCTACGAAGCCAGACATCAGGCTGGGTGCTGGGAATGCAGAGATGTGTAAAACCATCACCACCCTTGAGGAGCACATGGTCTGGGAGGATGGATGAGAAAGACTCGGGGATCCTGTATCATGGGAGGGCATAATAAAGCTATGACGAGGACAACAGGTTCCCTGCAAGGCACACTTGCATAGGCTTGTGTTTGTGATGGGGAGTTGTCTGGTGTAAAATCTAAATGTCTGGTGACTGTCAGGGAGTTCCAGCAGCAAACCCGGGGTTCAGGGCCAGGCCCTCAGGAGGACAGCATTGCTCTTTCATCCCACTGTGACTAAAGGTGTGGTGTTTTCTCTGCCTAGGATGTCCTTACCTCCTTTGCCCACCTAGAAACCTCTATTCCTCTGCAAGACATCCACACGAGCTTCACTTTCCAGATAAAACCTCTCTTTGCTGCCCCAGACAGCCTCGGGTGCCCCATTGTCATAAATGAAGACAATGACCACATCCTGTGGTGACTGCTCCTTTTCTGATTCAGTAGATTCTCTGTGAGCAGACAGTGAAGGTCATGTTTCATCTTGTCTGCGTACACAGAGCCTGACAAGCAAGGCACTCAGCAAAGGTTTGCTAAAATGAATGAGGCCGAGTTTTGCTTCGCTTAGGAGGATGTGGCTTCCATCCTCACAAGAAAAAGCCTGACATTCTAAAACATCGTAACTTTTCTTGAGCCCATCTGAGGAGCTGAGGCTACCAGACAATGAAGTGAACATAATTCCAAAGAGCTACAAGCGCCTCCGACGGCAGCGGGGACACAGTTGTTACGCCTTTGTCAGAGATGGAGGACATGGCTGCCCGAAAAAGCAGGTTGGAAGGAAACAGCTAAAATGGTAACAAATTTCTTAAATGTGGTCTAAGCACGACAATGTTAACCCCAGACACAAGGACTGGGCATCTGTAGTTACATGAGAGCTCTTTTCAGCGCCTCCCTGGGGGCTCCTGAGGAGAAAGGGAGGCAGGACGGGAAGAGCTGAGAAGCCCCGTCCCCCAACACAAGCCTAACAAAGAGTAACAAGGAACGCGGATGCAGAGTCAACCCATGAAGGCCAAGGTGGGGAAGCGACACTGAGAAAGCCCAGGACAGCGTGGGCCCCACACAAAGCGCTGGGAACCTGCCCAGAAGGACTCCGCCCCACCCCAGCGGCTGTGAGCGATCACTTTCGGATCACTTCCAGCTCCTGGACCGCTCTTTCTGTGTCCGACCGCGGCTTCTGAGGCCTCCATGCAGACTCCTCAGCTGTGACACAACCAGGCTCTGCATGGGTCCCCCTCCCAGCGCTGCAGCTCAGAGACTCTCCAGACAGTCCGTTGGGGCCTTCTTGGGCCACCTCACTTACCTCTCCTGTCACGGGGATGACTTTCTCAAGCTGCCTATTGCCCAATGTGGAAGCCATCGGTTCATAGGTTTTCCTTAAGTTTTTTAGTGTTTTAAGTCTCAGCGGTCAATCTGGTACTTGTTACATCATGGTGGCCAGAAGCAGATGTTCATCTGATTTTCTACAAAGGTGCCAAAGCAGTACAAGAAAGAAAAGAATGCCTTTTCAATAAATGGTATAGACACAACTAGATTTTCACATGCTAAAAAATAGACCTCAGCACCTACCTCCCATCTAACAGAAAATGTTACATGACAGGCACATAAACCTGAACACAGCAGTTAACATAAATATAATAAAGCTTTTAAGAGAAAGTATATCTCTAAAACTCAAAAGTAGGAAGACATTTCTTAGGAAATAGCAAATAACAACAATGAAAGAAAAAAATTGATAGATTTCATCAAAATGAAAATTTTTTGCTCATCAAGTGACTTAAGAAAACAAATGGGCAAGCTGCTGACGTGGATAAAACCTCCACATCACTGACACCTGATGTCTAGGATGAGTAAAAAACTACTATAATTCAATAACAAAAACCCAACTAAATGCTTATAGCCATTATTGGAGATTTAAAAAAAAAAAAAAAAAAAAGAAAGAAAGAAAGAAAAAGAAAAAAGAAAGTGGTCAAGGAATAAGATCAGATACTGCACAAGGAAAGTATTCATATGGCCAATAAGAACATAAAAAGTTGTTTAATGCCATTAGTCATAGGGAGAGGCAAATAATTAAAACCAAAAGACATACTGCTGCATAACCACAAGCATGTCTAAAATTAAAACACTGACAACAACAAATGTTGGTGAGGAAGTGGAGTGACTGGAACTCATGTTGCTGGTGGAGGTATAGTGGTATCTAGCAATTTCTTGTAAGACTAAACATACATCTACCCTATGGCCCAGCTGTTCTATGCTAGTCATTTCTCCAAGTAAGATGAAATATATGTCAACAAAAAAACTTAGATTTATAATATCCAAAACTGGAAACTCCCAGGTATCTATCAATAGGAAAGCAGATATACAAACTGCAGTATAGTTACATAATGTGATACTGCTCAGTAATAACAAGGAACAAATTACTAATACACAAAACAACATCAGTGACTCTCAAAACGATGCTAAGTGAAAGAAACCAGATAAAAAAGAGTACTATTATATATACAGTATAATTACCTTTATTTGAAATCTAGAATAAGCAAAATGAATATACAAAAAAAGAGAGAGCTATCCATCCAAAAAAAAAATAGAAAAAAAAATCAGATTGACAGTGCCTCTGGGGAGGAAGGAATGGTAGGAATTAGCTGGCATAAGGGACTTTCTGGGATTACAGTAACACTCTATGCCTTGGTAGGGGTTTGGGTTATACAGATTTAGGCAATTACCAGAACTTAACAAATCATAACCTTAAATATTTGAGCATTGCATTGATTGTAAAATTTACCTCAAAAGAAACAAAGGCATCAAAAAATTTAAATAGGTTGATGGATGAATAGAGGGTTGGATAAATAGATATCTATGTGATAACACGAAGATAGTAAAATATTAATAGTAAAGTCTAGGTGGTTGGTATATGGATATTCACATTAAAATTCCTTCAACTTTGTTTTATACCTGAAAATTTCATACTATAAAGTGATGAGAAAAATGTTGTTAAATGAGTAGGCAAGATGCTAGTGTCAGATAAGCCAAAGTACTAAGACAGAGACTCAAGTATCTGGGTAATAGGACAGGAGAAATTAAACAAACACAGGGGAGTCATAGTAATAATGGCCATCATTTAGTTATTGGATACTCACTGTACTCGGCCCTGCACAGGGCCCTTCTCAGAACCCAACTTGCTTAAGTCTTCCAACATACCCATTTACAGATAAGACACTAAAGCTTAGAGAACTTAGGTAATTCATCCTAAGCCTCATCCCACAGCCAGAAAGTAGGTGAGCCAAATTAGAGCCCTGGCTTATCAGATCCCAGGCAGCTTATCCATCATGCTGTTCCTCCTTTGCTACACTTCAGAGGGAAGGCTGGAACTACTTACTTGAACAAACAGTATTTAAGATTAGAGCAGAGCTGATTTGAGGAGTCATTGGGATATTAGAGTCCAGCCATATGCTGCTTAACAATGGGGATACATTCCAAGAACTGCATTGTTAGGCAATTTCATCATCATGTGAACATCATAGAGTTCATTCACACAAACCTAGATGGTGTAGCCTACTACATACCTAAATTATATGCTATAGCCTACTGCTCCTAGGATACAAACCTGTACAGCAAGTTACTGTATTGATTATTGTAGGCAATTGAAACACAATGGTAAATATTTTATGTATCTAAACATTTCTAAACATAGAAAAGGTACAGTAGGATTTGATATAAAGGTTAAAAAAATGATACTCCTGTATAAAGCATTTGCCATGAATGAAGTTTGCAGGACTAGAAGTTGCTCTGCGTGAATCAGTCAGTGAGTGGGGAGTGAATGTGAAGGCCTAGGACATTACTGTATACTATTGTAGACTTTACAAACACTGTACACTTCAGCTACATTCAATATGACTTTACAACAGCTACAATGTCACTAGGCTATAGGAATTTTTCAGCTCCATTATAATCTTATGGGACTGTATTTTAAATTTCTTTGGATTGGGCAAAGAATGAACTCCAGAGTTTAAGAGATCACTGTCAGAACTGAGGCTCTGCAGTATACATTCTATGGGATAGGGACCATATCTCTCTCATGTTCCTGCTATCATCCCACAGGCACAGCACCTGGCATGCCACAAATATTTACTGGTGAATGAATAAATACATACAGAAATAGGAAACCAGATGGAGCATTATACATTCTCAAGCAGGAATGTGACTATGTGAGAGGGAAAATTATCTTTCTAGATCAATCTCATTTCTCTGAAACTATACTTTTGAGATTCTCCAAAAGAGTGCAACTTCTTTTGAATGACTTATGCCTGGAAAGGTTTTTTGTTATTGTTTTTGTTTGGATTTTTTGTTTGTTTTTTTGTTGCTGACACTGGAGGTATTTGTACATTCTAATGTAGGCCAAGAAGTCTGTAAGGGTTCTGAACAGTCTCAGAATCTTGACTTTTGGAAGATCTTTAGAGGTTGTTCAGGCTAGCAACTTACCAAATATAGGATAGTAAAAGAGTATTGTAATCACTTTTCTCTCTCTTTGCTGGAGAAAAAGCAAAGATTCTAACCTGACAGCAATAGCACAAATGAGAACCACAAAAACCTCTTCTTGAAAGATGCCTAATCTGTGGGAGAGAGTTGCTTTATGAGAGGCCAGGGGTCAGGGCAGGCATAGTCCAGGTTCTGAGCATTCCAGAGAAGACAGGTCTGCCTGTGCCACTTCTAGATTTGGTTTTCTTAAGTGCTCTGAAGGCAGTTCTATATGGTATGCCAGGTAATGGAAAAGAATGCCTCCAGTCAAGATGCACTCAAAATAATTTTCTATTTCTGTTTTCTTTAAAAAAGATGCTCCCCATGTTCTAACCCAATGTAAGGAAGCTAAGCACCTTGAAAAAAGGTTAGACAAAATGCTAACTAGAATAACCAGTTTAGAGAAGAACATAAATGACCTGGTGGAACTGAAAAACACAGCACAAGAACTTTGTGAAGCATACATAACTTTCAATAGCTGAATTGATCAATTGGAAGAAAGAATGTCAGAGATTGAGGATCAACTCAATTACATAAAGCAAGAAGACAAGATTAGAGAAAAAAGAGTGAAAAGAAATGAACAAAGCCTCCAAGAAATATGGGATTACGTGAAAAGACCAAATCTACATTTGATTGGTGTACCCAAAAGTGAAGGGGAGAATGAAACCACTCTTCAGGATATTATCCAGGACAACTTCCCCAACCTAGCAAAGCAGGCCAACATTCAAATTCAGGAAATACAGAGAACATCACAAAGATATGCCTTGAGAAGAACAACCCCAATACATAATCATCTGATTCACCAAACTTGGAATGAAGGAAAAAAATGCAAAGGGCAGCTAGAAAGAAAGGCCAGATTACCCACAAAGGGAAGCTCATCAACTAATAGCAGATTTCCCAGCAGAAAACCTACAAGCCAGAAGAGAGTGGGGGTCAATATTCAACATTCTTTTTTTTTCTAAAGATCCACCCTCCCACCTCAACATTTTTAAAGAGACGAATTCTCAACCCAGAATTTCACATCCAACCAAACTAAGCTTCATGAGAAAAGTAGAAATAAAAATCATTTACAGACAAGCAAATGCTGAGAGATTTTGTCACCATTAGGCTTGCCCTACAGGAGTTCCTGAAGGAAGCACTAAACATGGAAAGGAACAACCAGTACCAGTCACTGCAAAAACATACAAAATTGTAAAGACCAATTTTAAAGAAACCAGAAATAGAAAATTATTTTGAGTGCATCAACACAAGGAATAAACTGCATCAATCAATGGGCAAAATAACCAGCTAGCACAATAATGGCAAGATCAAATTCACACATAACAATATTAACCTTAAATGTAAATGGGAAAAATGTCCCAATTAAAAGAAATAGACTGGCAAATTGGATAGAGTCAAGACCCATCAGTGTGCTGTATGCAGGAGACCCATCTCACATGCAAAGACTCAAAATAAAGGGATGGAGGAAGATTTACCAAGCAAATGGGAAAAAGAAAAAAAAGCAGGGGTTGCAATCCTAGTCTCTGATAAAACAGACTTCAAACCATCAAAGTTCAAAAGAGACAAGGAAGGGTATTATATAATGGTAAAGGGATCAATGCAACAAGAAGAGCTAACTATCCTAAATATATATGCACCCAATGCAGGAGCACTTAGATTCATAAAACAAGTTCTTAGAGACCTACAAAGACACTTAGACTCCCACACAATAATAGTGGGAGACTTTAACACCTCACTGTCAATATTAGATCAATGAAACAGAAAATAAACAAGGATATCCAGGACTTGAAGTCAGTTCTGGACCAAGTGGACCTAACAGACATCTGAAGAACTCTCCACTCCAAATCAACAGAATATACATTCTTCTCAGCACCGCATTGCTTATTCTAAAATTGACCACATAATTGGAAGTAAAATAGTCCTCAGCCAATGCAAAAGAGCAGAAATTATGGCAAACAGTCTCTCAGACCACAGCGCAATCAGATTAGAACTCAGGATTAAGAAACTCACTCAAAACCGCACAACTACATGGAAACTAAACAACCTGCTCCGAAATGACTACTGGATAAATAATGAAATGAAGGCAGAAGTAAAGATGTTCTTTGAAACCAATGAGAACAAAGACACAACATACCAGAATCTCTGGGACACATTTAAAGCAGTGTGTTTAGGGAAATGTATAGCACTAAATGCTCAATAAAGAAAGCAGGAAAGATCTCAAATCGACATCCTAACCTCACAATGAAAAGAACTAGAGAAGCAAGAACAAACAAATTCAAAAGCTAGCAGAAGGCAAGAAACAACTAAGAGCAGAAATAAAGGAAATAGAGACACAAGAAACCCTTCAAAAAAGCAATGAATCCAGGAGCTGGTGTTTTGAAAAGATTAACAAAATAGATCATTAGCCAGACTAATAAAGAAGAAAAGAGAGAAGAATCAAATAGATGCAATAAAAATGATAAAGGTGACATCACCACTGATCCCATAGAAATGCAAACTACCATCAGACAATACTATAAACACTTCTATGCAAATAAACCCCAAAATCTAGAAGAAATGGATAAATTCCTGGACATTTACACCCTCTCAAGACTCAACCAGTAAGAAGTAGAATCCCTGAGTAGACCAATAATAAGGTATGAAATTGAGGCAGCAATTAATAGCCTACCAACCAAAAAAAGTCCAGAACCAGAATGTTTCACAGCCGAATTCTATCAGAAGTATAAAGCGTAGCTGGTACCATTCCTTCTGAAACGATTCCAAACAGTAGAAAAAGGGAATACTCCCTAACTCATTTTATGAGGCCAATATCATCCTGATAGCAAAAATCTGGCAAACACACAACTGAAAAAGAAAATTCCAGGCCAATATTCCTGATGAACATTGATGCAAAATCCGCAATAAAATACTGGCAAACTAGTTCCAATTAGACATCAAGAAGCTTACCCAACACGATCAAGTTGACTTCATCCCTGAAATGCACGGCTGGTTCAACACACACAAATCAATAAACATAATTTATCACATAAATAGAATGAAAGACAAAAACCACATGATTATCTCAATAGATGCAGAAAAGGCCTTCAACAAAATTCAACAAATTTTCATGCTAAAAACTCTCAATAAACTAGGTATTAATGGAACATATCTCAAAATAATAAGAGCTATTTATGACAAATTCACAGGCAATATCATATTCAATTGGGCAAAAGCTGGAAGCATTTCCTTTGAAAACCAGCACAAGACAAGGATGCCCTCTCTCCCTACTACTATTCAACATAGTATTGGAAGTTCTGGAATAAGACAAGAGAAAGAAATAAAGAGTTTTCAAATAAGTAAAGAGGAAGTCAAACTGTCTCTATTTGCAGATGACATGACTGTATATATATAAAACTCCATTGTCTCAGCCCAAAATCTCCTTAAGCTGATAATCACGTTCAGCAAAGTCTCAGGATGCAAAATCAATGTGCAAAAATCACAAGCATTTCTATACACTAATAGCAGACAGAGAGCCGAATCATGAGTGAACTCCCATTCACAATTGCTACAAAGAGAATTAAATACCAAGGAATACAACTTACAAGAGATGTGAAGGACCTCTTCAAGGAGAACTACAAACCACTGCTAAAGAAATAAGAGAGGACACAAACAAATGGAAAAACATTCCATGCTCATAGATGGGAAGAATCAATATTGTGAAAATGGCGAAAAGGCCCAAAATTCAGTGCTATCCCCATCAAGCTACCATTAACTTTCTTCACAGAATTGGAAAAAAGCCTTCAATTTCATATAGAACCAAAAAAGAGCCCACATAGCCAAGACAATTCTAAG